CCCCCCCCCCCCACCCCATCTCCCCACGCAATAAAAAATGGCCGGTTCTCAAAGTGAAATTGAGAGGGAGGAGTCAAACTGCTATGCTGATTGAACGAAAACTCAATGTTGTAATGTTGGGACTAACCAAAAACCATATGACGATCCCGCTAAGAAAAACAATGCACAGGTTGATGAGCATGACCGGCCAACATTGAAACAAGGACGATAATAATCGCATAGACGAAGAATTGGAATCCTCCTTAGGTACAATAAGAACCACTGAAGGAGACTCCACTACCGCCATAAAGCCAAACTGTCCCATGAAATGATCCTGTCCTTTGTATCCATACAAAGGAAAGCTCAAGTCGCTTTCTTCTACAGATGCTCTGACTTGATCATGCCCTCTTTTTTCGCTGCGATGATTCGTGTTGTTTCCCACGAAGTATACAATGGTGGAAGCGTGGGTTTGACACGGCTGACAGCAGGTCGACACCATGTTTTTTACTATGAATGGAAATATGGCTTCTGATTGGGAATCGCGAATCATATAAGGAGGATTGTGCCACCAGTTTGTGCTGAACGAGCTGGGGCATCTGCATGTTTCTATATCGATGAAAAAGCAAAGGAAAGCTCAGAAACATTTTACTCACTCACGAGAATAATATTATGGGAGGTACACAGCGGTCAAACGTCAGGAATGCGCGAGGGGATCAACTCTCACAAATTTTCAGCGTAACATTTCAAAGGAAACATAAGAAACAACGGCTGCCTCGCAAAATAAGCGAAAGAAAATTGAAACGTCGTTTAAAGAAAACAGCAGTGGGGAAAAGGGAAAACTCGAGACCACTCGAACAGAAGGCTTATTCAAGTACGGGTATCCAGCTTACTTACCACTTTCTTTTGAGCTTTATCATAAAGGTTAAAGGCTTTTGAAACACAATAACTTACTGGCTCGTGTGGTTGTAAACACTGTAAGACAACTTGTATCTGACAGCCTGAAAGCACGTCACCTAATCATCACAACTTTCGCCCATGCGCAAACGTTTGACTGCTGTATTTTGTGGGAGTGGGGTTTGTTTTGCAGATATACTGCTTCTACTGTAAGCTTCAGCAATGCGTGGGGAGGCGGCAATAGGCGCGAATCACGTATATCTCCCCTACCTGCATATATGGGAGTGCTTCTAAGCCCGTCTCCAACCACATTGAACCCCAGCACCTCAATCTCGTATACAGTGAAGCTGTCTAATTTGGTCAGTAAAGCCTGTTGGTCTGATGCACCGACTATCACCATGAATGAGCTGGTAACAGTTGGTTGCTCACGTGACACGAGCACGGGTCTGTAGAAAACTTTATAACCAAGGATAACTCCGTTGCGTGAAGCTGAGGGTATTGAATCCCACGTGACCAAAAGTGAGTTAATACTTGTGTAATTTTTAGCGTTTACGTTCTCAGGTGAATCCTTAGGAACTGCAGTGGGAGAAGATATGACATGACCAATAAAGAAAAAATGTAAGTTCATGTGGGGGTGTTGAAAACAATTCTGTTAACCTTAGACAACCGCAAGAGCCCATTAATGGGCTCCTGACAACCGCTGATAACCTTAGGCAACCGTTCGGGCGTTCCTTGTTCGGCGCAAAAACGGAAAAATACGCGGCGAGCAGAAAGGAGAGGCATGTGGAGGATATTACATAGCCACCTTAACGATATACAGAAAAACATGACTTATTTCTTCCTGCTTTGGTGTCTAATTTTAAGCTTAAGAACCAGTCATTATTGCTCTCCAGGGGAGAGGGGTCAGAGGATTTTGGAGTATTACATGATTTTTAGGGGGGAAGGAAGGAAGGAGAGTCAGTCGTCGTCGCTACCAGAGTATAAAGGGAGGGGAACTATAGAAAATTGACTGCCAATGAGGGAGGGGGATCATTGGATCACCAAAGAGCCTTTGCGGGAGTAGACGAATTTTATCATGACATGACATGAATCCTTGACCACTCTCTCCCCCCCCCCCCTTCAAGGTGGTAGATAATGAGTGGTTAGTGATTATAAATGTATAAATCAAAACCAACTCTCCAAAGCACCGAATAACGCTATTACTTAACCCGAAGGTCATGTTGACTTCCGAGAATAATATAAACGTTTACCCGCTAGGAAATTGTTGTGTTGCGTCGAGGGGAGGGGGGTCGTAACACGATAATTATATTTCATAAACTGAGTTGATGATGTAAATTGACCACCACAAGGAGTTTTTAAAGCTGATGTTTCGAGTGTCAGCTCTAGTCTCGTTAGAGAAAAAGAAATTCATTCCATTCACTCACCAGTAGTATCTATTTAGAGGTTGTTGGCAACGATTTACCCTCTTCACTGCGCGTGGTGGGAAACGCCCTGCCTCCATGTTGGAGCATGTTTTTTTTTTCACTCTTTCTTTTAATCTTTTAAGATGGCAATTGATTCCACTCACCTTCTTGTTTTACTGTTGATGAGCTGGTCGTCGAACTTGACAACGTAGCGTTTGCAACACCGTTATTTATCACACCTGAAAGAATTAGAAATAGAAAACATAAATTTCCTAAATTTTCAGAGGTTGAGATTTGGTTTAGTTAGATTCACTTAGGAATTTATCGCAATTTAGTATGTTGTACATTCACTACTTTTGATGAACAGGGTAAATTTTGTCTCCAGTTATGTAAATTTTTATTCCATTCTGTAAATGTTGTATCAAGTTTAATGGAATAAATACATAGGACAACAGAGTTACTGTCAAGTAAGGGACTTTGACAAGTTTATTTGTTTGCTATTAAAATAAGATGAATTAAGATTAAAGAGATCTGCAAATCGGTAAATTTGTTATTTTTTTAATTTCCGGTAAAAAAGTGCTCTTGACCACAGCTCCTATTTCCTTAGGTACATCAACAGTTCATGAGGCCGTATGCTCTGGTTCAGTCTTGACAGGGCATACTAGATGACCTATATAGCATTGCATATCTGAGAAAATTCCAGGTTCCACAATCTGAAATTCGCGTCGATCACTGAAAATCTAAGATCCCTAAACCCAGAAATTAATGTATTTTCACTTACTTTGACCAATCGCCTTGTGATTGGTCCAGAAAACTCGTGCTACTCTCTCAACCAATCAGATGAAAAACGAAAACCAATCACGACTTGGTTGCCCGCGTTTTCCCGCGCTTAAGGCAGCTTGGTTGTTTTTGCATTGAATTCTCATTGGCTCTTAACGATAATTTCTTTCCTTCTCATTGGCTATTGTCATTATTTTGGTTTGAGTTTTACGACACTCAATTGAAAAGCGCTCTATGGGGTAAAAACCGCACTTACCTTGGTTTATCGTTGTGTTATGGTTTTGTACGTGAGAGCTATTGAGACTATTGTGATTGGTGCTGTTGATTAATGCTAAAGGAATACATACATAAGGTTTAGCATCTTTTTGCAAAAGGGGCGGGGGGAGGCTCTTTTCTTTCTAAGGGAACGCATCTAGCGTCTGGTTAAAAAATAGCGTGTCTTTTCGATGACTGTTCTTATACCTAAGACTCAAAATCTGTCTGATCGAACTAGGGCAAACATTTGTAATTCTTCTAGTTAGGCGTCTCTAGTATAAAGACGGGCACAATACACATCGAGACGAACTATCATTCATAATACATCTGGAACGATGCATTATGAAAGACATCTCGTCTGAATGCATAACTCATGAGGAAAATTCTACTCAATTTGATTGGTCCTCATGATAGGGCTTCCTGTAGTAGAGTAATTTAAAACACTGATGCTGTTAGCTAAAGCTAAAAGAAGACAAAACAGTGTTAATATCCGATAACATAAAATTTACTTTCAACCAAAATTTCTATAATATTTTAAGTGTTAGAATTTGGTGTTGCGTCATGTTTACTGGCGATATTTAAATCAGCTTGGAGTAGTTGCCAAGAGGATTTACTTACTACCATTGATGGTTGAGTTTCCAGCAAGAGAGGTCGTGCTGTTGTCTGCAGCTAAGAGAAGAAAAGCTTACATTTAAAAACATTGAAAATGGCAATCTCTCGTACTCTTGGCTTGTTGGTATTTGCTAGACTTCATTGATTCACATTACATAATACGGCAATTTTTATATACTGACGGAGTACATGTTCAATAGTGCACGTGTGGGATTTGCTTACTTTTATTGACGGTTGAGTTTGCAGTAAGTGAAGTTGTGCCGCTGACTGCAGCTAAAAAGAGAGCAGCTTAGGTTTAAATTATTTCAAGATTGTTACACAATCCATAATGCGGCAACTTTTATCTTACAGATTAATTGGTGTATGTGAGATACGCTTACTTCCATTGACAGTTGAGTTTGCAGCAAGTGAAGAGGTGCCGTTGACTGCAGCTAAAAAGAGAAAAGCTTAGGTTTAAATTATTGCAATGCATAATGCGGCAACTTTTATCATACAAAATAAGTGGTGCATGTGCGATTCGCTTACTTCCATTGACAGTTGAGTTTGCAGCAAGTGAAGAGGTGCCGTTGACTGCAGCTAAAAGGAGAAAAGCTTAGGTTTAAATTATTGCAATGCATAATGCGGCAACTTTTATCATACAGATTAAGTGGTGCATGTGTGATTCGCTTACTTCCATTGACGGTTGAGTTTGCCATAAGTGAAGTGGTGCCGTTGACTGCAGCTAAAAAGAGAGCAGCTCAGGTTTAAATTATCTTAACGTTGTTACACAATGCATAATTTAGCAACTTTTATCTTACAGATTAAGTGGTGCATGTGTGATTCGCTTACTTCCATTGACGGTTGAGTTTGCAACAAGTAAAGTGGTGCCATTGACTGCAGCTGAAAGAAAGTAGCTCAATTTTAAGTTATCTCAAAATGATATCTGTATTCTTTTATCAATGTTTTTTTATTAACTGAATACCGTAGCTGTATTTCTCCCAATGTCGGTGTTACCTACGCAACTGACGGTACTTTGAAATACTAAGTACTTTACAACTGTAATAAAACTGCATACGTTAAGGTTAAATCTGACTATTATTACAGTACAGCCTGTGTTTACACTTCTGACATTATGGGATAACAAATTTTGTATAACAAGAGAATCCTTAATACAGTATATTAGCAGTATTTTTTTTTATTTTAGATTTGAAACATTTTTTTCGGTAGCTTCCTAAGAGAGCAAGTGAGGGAGACGATTGTGCTTGTCCTGTAATTTTTGAGTTACAGGAGGTAGGAAAGATAGTTGTGCGCTAGAAATCCGTCACTGACCTTTTTCTGTCCTGAAGGTAAACAATGAGCTGTTTGGTCCACCGCCAATTTGATTAAAAGCATTGATGATAACATTGTAGTCGGTATCTTCCTCCAAATCTGTCAACCAAACCGTTGTTTGTGCTGTCCTGGTCACATTGACTGTAGAGTCAAGGACTTTTACCCAGAATACCTCATAACCAAGAAGTGTGGCCGCGTTGATATGCTGCGAAGGGATTGGGTCCCATGTGACTTCAGAGTAAGTAGAACCCAGGTTGGTGACTCTGAGGTTCGTTGGAGGAGCACTAGGAGCTCTGGGACCTTTGCCCGTCCTGAAAGTAAACAACGAGCTGTTTGGTCCACTGCCCATTTGATTAAAAGCACTGATGGTGACATTGTAGTCGGTATCTTCCTCCAAATCTGTCAACCAAACTGTTGTTTGTGCTGTCCTGGTCACATTGACTGTAGAGTCAAGGACTTTTACCCAGAATACCTCATAACCAAGTAGTGTGGCCGCGTTAATGTGCTGCGAAGGGATTGGGTCCCATGTGACTTCAGAGAAAGTAGAACCCAGGTTGGTGACTCTGAGGTTCGTTGGAGGAGCACTAGGAGCTCTGGGACCTTTTTCTGTCCTGAAAGTAAACAACGAGCTGTTTGGTCCACTGCCAATTCGATTAAAAGCACTGATGGTGACATTGTACTCGGTGTCTTCTTCCAAATCTGTCAACCAAACTGCTGTTTGTGCTGTCCTGGTCACATTGACTGTAGAGTTAAGGACTTTTAACCAGAATACCTCATAACCAAGTAATGTGGCCGCGTTTATATGCTGCGAAGGGATTGGGTCCCATGTTATTTCGGAGTAAGTGGAACTTAAGTTGGTGACTCTGAGGTTGGTTGGAGGAGCACTGGGAGCTCTGGGACCTTTGTCTGTTCTGAAAGTAAACAACGAGCTGTTTGGTCCACTGCCAATTCGATTAAAAGCGCTGATGGTGACACTGTACTCGGTGTCTTCTTCCAAATCTGTCAACCAAACTGTTGTTTGTGCTGTCCTGGTCACATTGATCGTAGAGTTAGTGCCCTTTTCCCAGAATACCTCATAACCAAGAAGCGTGGCTGCATTAATATGCTCCGAAGGGATTGGGTCCCATGTGACTTCGCAGTACGTGGAGTTTAGGTCTGTCACTCTGAGGTTGGATGGAGGAGCACTGGGAGCTAAAAATCAAAGGTTTTAGTTTGTTTCCCTCTTTGATTGTTTGTCAACGAAACATAACGCTTAAAAAAGAAGGGCAATTTGAATATCTGAGCAATGACGCACCAACCTCTCTCTCCTGACTCAAAATTACCCTAACCTGTTATCAGTTGACTATTGTTGGTTTAGGGGAGCAGTAAGTGCGCAGTTGCTCAGGTACACTAACAAGTATTTTTCTCGGGGGGGGGGGGGGGGGGGGGGTGCACCGCTGAGGAATGACGCAAAATGCTTGTCATATTGGAAAACCACAGGTTTTCGTGATCAGGGAGGTAGGGGGATGCACACTCCTGCACCCCCTCCCCTCACCCCCTGTTCAGCTGATTCTTCCCATCTGAAATGTTCTATTAAAGTACGCCTCATCCGTAAAAAAAACACATACGCACACAAACCAAAACTTCAAAACCAAAATTTAACCTCTTTATTTTCGCCCGCGTCAACTTCTGATACGAATTTTTCAAATGCAACAATAGAAACGAGTGGAAAAAATATTAAAAAACGTTAATGAAAGTTACAACACCCTCGCTATGAGCCTATCTTCATATAGAGAAATGAGCCATTTCATTACTTACCGCTCTCCCCACTAAAGGCAGTGACAGGGGAACTTGGAAGGCCCGCACAAGACAAGGTAACCACCGATACTCGAATAATATATTTAGTGACCCCCTTGAGGTTCTTTATCTCAGCTTCGTATCTTTCTTTATTCTGAGGCGGTACGTACTGTTCAGCAAATGGTTCGCCTTCTGCACAATACAGTATCGCGTATCCCTGGAAAACTCCATTCAAACTGTCCACGTAAGACTCTGGCAGACTTGTCCACGAAACCAGGAGACAAAGAGAATCCGATTCGCAAGAAGTAGCAGTTACGTTTGTGGGAGCCCTAGTTGGTACTATGAAGAAAAAAGATTTGAAAATTTATTTATTTTTTCGGTTGAGCTTGGGTGTGAGATCTTCAGTAAGTTTAGCGATCGGGGAATATTATCACCTGTTGGGGGGAGGGGGAGGAGGAGGAGGAGGGGAATCGGAGGATTTTGATCGTATCATAACACCCCCCCCCCCCTCATAAGGCTCTGTACTATTTTAATTATCCCCTATGGGAAGTTAATTTCCTATGGTCCCTCCTATATATTCTGTTAGCGAACACTGATCCCCTTTCCAGTCCACCTGAAAACCATGTGACCCTATTCAAAATCCTTCCACCCCCCAACGATACATAATGACGGCTCCCTTGCAATGCTCTCTTAATTAAGAACGAATGTGATAAATGTAGCAAATGACGGTAATCTTACTGTGTAGCGATTCAACAGAAGTCACTTCGAAATCTTCTTGAAATAATGAGGAGTTTGGAGATAAAGCTTCAATAAGGTTAATGACGTTGTCAGTTCCAACAGAGTAGAACGACATGTTGACATTTACAATGACACTTCCGGACCTGTAAAAAACGAAACTTTTTAAATATTCCCCAGGATTCGAAATGTGCATCACTCGCAGCTAAGAGCATAGACATCAATGCTATCATCATCTTCCATCCAGAATTCTTTAAAGGTGAAACTAATGATAAGCCAGCCTTTATGATGTTTTTTTAGGTATTCAACATCATGACGTTACGAGTAAACTTAGGAGAATGGTAAAGCTGGTCCTTCAAAACACGAAAAATGACAGTTTAGCTGAGCAAGCACAAAACTGTGATATTTTCACTTTAGATTTGTTGAAAAACAACAATGGCACTGAAGTGTTATCAATACTATTTCATTTTCTATTCACGCCGAATATATCTGAAAAAAAAAAACTTTACGTACGGTACCTTGCGGAATAAACGGAGGAAAAGCCGTATTTCGGATCATTTTCAAACATTTTTCCGACCTGAAGAAGAAAAAATAAAAGAATAAGCTAATTGGAAAAGCTAAACGCGAAGCTATTTGCTCCAGTAGTCCTTGAAAATCACACCTGTTTCTCGATGTCTCGATTCTCTGCATACTTTGACTTAATGAATTCGCTCCAATTCTTGCCTGGAAACTTGAATTCCACATTTATCCAAAACCGAGATGGCTTTCCTTGATAGAAATAATCATAAAATTAAAATAATATTATAATAAAAAAAGATGATTCTAGTGAGAGAAGGCGGCTTTCAGTTGGTTCCTCAAATTGATGGCTCTGGTCTCTGAAATTTAAGATGCCTTGCTCTTAAAGAATAAGTTCTGCAGGTCGTGTTAAGACATACGTTAGTCAGTTATAACACCTAGAATTCAATTTGCCACTGAGAGCGCAACTGAGTTTGGGGGGTAAGTTTGTAAAGAAACTGTGGTGGAGGGGGGGGGGGAAGGGAGGGGAAAAACAAGATAAATTTGGTTTTGTTAATTGAGTTGGAAATGTAACTTGATCAACGTAAAGGGTTTCTAAAACTGACGTTTATAGGGTTGCCCCATCGTCAAAGCCCTGCCTGAGGGCTAACGCTGGAAACTTCAGCTTTACGGTAATCAATTTACATTATCAGCTCAGTCAATAAAACCAAATTGTCTTGTTAAGTAAGGCACAGGGGTCTTGGAAATATTGTGCGTGTGATCGTATAAACTTATTTAACCGGTTTTAGGTGTATCTATTCACTGTAAAAACTGGAAGTAACAAGTTACTTAACAGTCGTTCGTACCTATATTGTTTACAACCAAGCCAAAGATTTCATCTCTCTGGAGCTGGTGAAACCAGATCATTACTTCGTCTAAAGTAGCCTTGGCTGCTCCGCTTGTTAATGGCTGATCAAACTCGATAGCATTGGGCACGACAACGCATACATTATTGCTTACATTTTGTTCACCATTGCGGTAACCCTTCAGGAGACGAGGAATACGAAACGAGAAAGTTATATGTGTCCAAGCACCATCGACCACATCTAGCTCTATTTCGCAACGGTATTTATAAGTGATCATTCGAATGACAAGGTCATCTTCTCTTTCCATAACCAGAAAACCATTTTTATTTTCATGCGGCTGGCCGAATCCCAAAATCTTCACAGGTTCTGTTGGTCTGGTCTTAAATAATCTCAGCCAAAAAGACATCGTAATACCCTCAGGGCATGTCGTTTGTCTTAAGTTTATAATACAAGATTCATTAATAATCCCAAAGTGCAACTTTCCTTCAGAAGACCTGACAGGTTGTGACACAACATTAGTATTGGAGTCAATGAGGTCAGTGCGGTTGGTTCCGTTTCTTGTAAGATTGGCTGTTTGCGTCACATTTTCCATAGACCAGTATAAGCTCAAGGACTGAAATAAAGGTTCCATAATGTCTGGTATTGAGAAAAAAAGAGAGGTCATCTTAGCACAATCTGTTGTTTGAAAAGACGAATGGATTCACAATAGATGTTCGAGTTTAAGAAACGACGACGGCGACGCTGTGGACAACGTCTGTTAAAAATTGAACTTATATTTTACCAACGAGTTTGGCGATATTCTAAAGTCATTTAGCTTGTTTCTCACTGTTCAAACTATCTCGAAGCTGAATATGTAACACAGCTTTAAATTAGAAACAAAAATTTACAAAATTAGCCGTCGTCGTTCACGTTCTCCAGACAACATCTGGACATTCACGTTGTTGTTTTGCAGAGGACGCAAAAAATTTTACAAAGATTTATAACGCACGTGCACAGCTATTGTTCTGCTCATTAAGCCTTTTGTTTAGTGATGTTCCCGTTGCCGTTGCCGTCGTGGTTTTCTAAAACTCCCTATTAATGCAAAAAACCCAACCCAAAATAAACCATACTGATCGTAAATTTGCTGAAATTCGTCATCTTTGGGGAGAGGACGGAGAAGAAGAAGAAAAACAGAGACAAACACAACAAAATAAAACATCAAAGACGATGCAACAACAACAAGGACTGCAAGAAGAACGAGGCGAGACATAAAATTTACTGCGCAGAACAATAGCGCGGCACGACCGTTTTAGAACTTGGCTATTTTTCAGTCTTCTCATGTACAACAACAACCTGAAGTCACCAACTTTGAAGTCCCCTCGCTGAAAGGAAACCTCGACAGAATTTAAATTTTTAAAATTTAAATTTTTTTGTTTTTAATTTGAGTTCAAAACTACAATGATTCACATGTTGTGCCGAAGGGATGACGTCGCATCATCAGAAAGCGTAAATTTACCGAGGAGCTGGCGAAATTCCTAGAAGAAAAGAAAGCTCGTTTTTTCGTCAAGGTTTTCTTAGGCTTCGCCGCAGTGACGTCCCAAACTCCCTAACAAGAACAAATACAACGACAAAAACCAACAGAAAATTTACAGGGAGAACAAGTGCAATAAAGAGAAGCTACAGAACAAAAATTAGGAAAAGAATAAAAAAAACCAGGACAAAACGAAAAGTACGATAGGATTAAAACGAAGAACCTGGAGCTGACTCTACCTCTTTCCCCGATCCATCCCATTGCTTGAACAGAAGTTTCATTTTTATCACTGTGGTACATGAGCGGTGTTAAAGTCATTTCCGTGGCTCCATTAGCTAATCCTTTGTTGTTGTGTCTTTCAAACACTATCCCACATGCCGCATCTCGGACATATCTAATGATCGTACAAGATTTACAATGAAAACTCCTCTCTGTCATACTCATTCCAGAAGGGTGGAAAATCCTTAATTCATCTTTTAAAAAAAAATTGACAAGGGGCGGAGTTAGGAACTTTTGATGGAGGGGGGGGGACGGAGGAGGGGGGGAGAGGATGGAGGAGGGGGGAAGGAGGATGGATGAGGGGAGAGCGGGGGAGGAGGGTTCTAAACTTAAATTCGGTAAACATACAATTTTGGTAGAAGTTTGGTATCAGGTATGGATTAAAAATACCCACAGGTCTATTGAGGGGAGGTGTGGGTCTCGGGACCCTCACCTCTGCATCCGCTACTATACATAATGTCGTAGACAGTGGGATAGGCCTCCACAATAGAATGGCTGTACTTGTTCCAGGTCGTCAATGGAGTTGTGCCAAAAAAAGAGATTACCGTATTTCCTCGAATAAGCGCCCACACCCTAATAAGCCTTCTCCCGATTAAGCGCCAACCCTCTCAGCCATAATGTCAAACAAGTACCCTTGAATAAGTGCCCCCCCCCCCCTGCTCCCTCACTTTTTTAAATAGCAGGAAAGCAAGGGAAACTTGTCTCTATTGCCACTTTGTTTATGACTTCTTAGCTTCAACTTAGGAGAAATCAGTACAGGAAAATAATTAGCTTCCCCCTTGATTAAGTATCTTTTTTCCGATAAGCGCCCCTACTTTTCGCTAAACTTTAAATAAGTGCTCGGGCGCTTATTCGAGGAAATAAGATAATTAGTGTCAATCTGCAGCAGGGATAAACTTTGATGGATACAAGCGAAATGTTAACGAGAAAGATTTCAACCTACACTACTGACTTGGCACGATCGTTGAAAGAAATCTGAAATGATGCCTTCTTTCCGGTATCACAGTTGGTTTCCAGGTAGACTTGCTTTACATACTTTGAGCCTCCAAAATGACAAGTTATTTGATCCCCCTCAGCCAATAAAACATTTCCAGCGAAACATGTCTCCACTTTTGAGAAAATATGGCTCTCTGCAATTAAGTCATGCAAGTCATTAAAAACGTTGTATTTCATCCTCACACACTCATGTTGACTCGTTCCAGGCCAAATTGATCGGCCGAGAAGGAGAACACGGATCGCATTCCATTTACTCTTACATTTCACCCCCACAACCACGCAGTTAAATCTATCATTCTTAAAAATTTTAAATTACTCCAAAACGATTCAGAGACTGGCACTATCTTTTCGCAACCCCCACTTATTTCATTCAAACGTGACAAAAACATAGGCAACTTTTTAGTCAGGAGTTCATTTCAAACCAATGACCAATCTGGAACTTTTAAATGCGCTCGCTCACGATGCAAAACTTGTCCTTTCATTCACAACGTAGAGAAAATATCGGGACCCAAAAGATCCATTAAGATCATTGATCACTTTACGTGTACCTCCGCCAATGTTATTTACTGCATAACTTGCACTTATTGCAATAAGTTATACATCGGCGAGACAGGAAGACGACTGGGTGACCGATTCCGAGAACACCTTCGCGATGTGGAAATAAATGACAAGGACGCATCCAAGCCAGTCGCTAGACACTTTAATCTTCCTTATCATTCTAAACAGCATATGGCAGTTTGCGGCCTTTCCTTACATCTAGGCAGTTCGGAAAGCCGTAAAACACTAGAACAAAAATTTATATTTCAAATCGGCACCCTTAATCCCCACGGAATCAACGAGCGCTTTTCATTCAACTAATTTATTCCTGTTTTTTCGTCACCATATTCCCACCAATGGCGTTGCTCCACTTTCTACATATAAATCCATACACAACCCACAATTCCTCTAATCGCTCTGACGAAGGGCTAACGCTCGAAACGTCAGCTTTTTTACTCTTTACGGTGGCTAATTTACGTTTTCAACCCAGTTGTTAACACTAAATTACCTGCTATACTCTCCCACCGACGCAGCACCACAGTTTCTTTAGAAACTTACCCCTTCATTCAAATTGACATGAGTTCATCGCATCCCACATCTAAGCCACTATCTTCATGAAACATTTAAAGCCAAATTTTGAAACTCGATTCTTTTGGTAGTTATACACATTGTTTTAAAATGATTCTATCGTAAGAAATAGTAACAGGACTTCTTGTCGTCCAAGTCAGTCTGTAATCACAAAAGAGAATGAAAAAATCGAATGACCGCAAATTGGGAGTCCGATTTGTTAAATTAAGAGCATGAATAGAATTGGAAAACACGAGGTCCTGTAAGCAATTGATCAAAACTATGACAAAATTTGATGAATAAATAGCCATCAATTATACGTTTTCATAAAAAACAACAGTTAATTCGGCGAAATGCGCGGCAACAGGGCGCACACATGACGCGCCCTATCCAATTCCAATCTTGACGGGCGGATGATAACCAATCACGTGCGAGATTTTGTTATAGTTTTGACCAGTTATGATAGTAGGACTGAGTGGAGTCCAATTCGGTCTCTAATCGTACGAGTGACAACAAAATCCGCGGGAGTCCTATTTGTTTTTCACAAGTATGATTGCAGACCGAATTGGACAACGCGAAGTCTAATTACCAATTAATTATAAAAATTACAATTTCCGAGAAAAGAAGAATGGCTAAGTTATGAAAGAAAGGGGAAATTTGCATTAAAAACGTGACAAAATATATCTTTACATTGTTTTCATGATGATTTGAACCAAGGTTTTGGTTGGTTGATTTCAACTACAACTGTGAATGTGATTGGCTTATTGAATTGTCTAATAACAAACTTTCCGATAACTTGGCAAGCAAATTAGCGGAAAATAGGAGTTTTTTAAACCAATCACAATTGAGGAAATTGCCATTTTTATGATTAATCCAATAATCATAATTCAAATTAAGGAAGAAATGAAGAACATATACCAGAATAATAAACTTCAAGTTCGGACAAAACAAACTCAGAACTTCCCGCCAAATACGTGTTCTTGGGTCCCATGTCCCGTACGTATCCTGGCGCATCGTAAGTTTTCCCGAGAGAGCTTGTACCATTCTTTCCAATGAGCAAAAGATCGACATCGAAAGTCGGTCCGTAATTCATATTATTGTAGATAATGGCCTTCTTTGGGGAAGAAATTCTGTAAGGAGAATCAGAACCGTGGGAATTCCTCAGGGTAAACAGCACTGAACCAGTACTCATCGTCGACATGTTGGAAACTGAAATGATATATATATACAATTAACCTATTTAAGCGCTTTTCGCTTGAGTATTGTAAAACCAAAGCCAAACTTATCACAATAAGCACTCAGATTAAAAGAAAATACCCCTAAGAGGCTAATTAGAACTCAAAGTAAAAACTGCCAAACTGCCTAGAACGCGAGAAACGCGAGCGACCAAGTCGTGATTGATTTAGTTTTGCCCGATTAGTTAAGAGAGTAGCGCACGTTTTGTGGACCAATCACAGAACGGAGTAAAGCTAAGCTAATGCAGTCCTGGATTACCTTTCTTTAATGGATGCTCTCTGACGAAGCTTTGTGTAACTTGCGCTTTTCAATTTTTCCTCTTTGCGGAAATCCAAAATACACTGTATTTGAAATGTGTTTGTACGAGAATGTAAGAAACGTTTTGAGGAGGGTAGCGAGGTTATCGAAATATATCTATACTATTCACAGGAGATCTAAACAACTAAGGGAAATCCTAGCAAATAGCGCCCTGTGGAAATCCACACAGCCCAAGATAAAATTTCACCAAAAGCTAATTATTCTCACGAGCATTCCATGGACTTGAGCTGATGCCACCGAATATCCACCATGAGTTAGCTCTTGCTAAGACAACTGTGAGAGGTTTATGATCGCACTTTGCGTGAAACACTTCTGGTTCCCAGCCGTCAGCTGATGCATTGTAACAAGGTGCCCAGCTGTGCCAGTGCTTTAGAGAAAATTCGTACATGTAGTCTGCAGCCCTTGGAAATTCGTGCACAAATGAGTTTTCAAATCCTACAGCATTAAGAAACACACGGGGAAAAATTTATTTTGATTTTGGTGATGGAAAGACATTTCCACTAGCGTGTTCCGGGCGTTCCGTTGGTAAAACGAAGCACGGTAGTGACCTGCGCAATAGTAGCGGAGGAGTGAAAAGGTGAGAGAGGTTTGGGTTGGGTAGCGTAATGAACAACGACCCGACCCAAACCTCCTGCGTTTTGGCTCTGCCGCTACTATTGCTCCGTTCACTACATCTCTCCGTATTACTAACTGAACGCCTGATTTCCACACTACTGTGGAGTTTCCTCACATTACTTGCTACTTTGTCTCTGAGCTTTACCATGCCGGAAAGAATTTTGATAACCACATCATTGGACGTGATATATCAATGACCCACCTTGGAAATTCGATCAAATAATTCAGTGGATCAAGGATGCTTGTGACAATTGAAAACATCATCCTGGTAAGTAAGTATTTATGCATGTGTGCATAAGGATCTCAATGGGTTGATGGCTTTTACAGCTAACGGTTAAAACTTTGGCCATTTTACGGCTAACAGTTATCCCGTAAATCATTCAACTGTTGTCACCAGAAATTTTTGATGGTCAATTTTTTACGACTGTCGGTCAAAATTTCTCAATTTTTACGCATAACAGCTAACTTTTTTGTCCGTTTTATAGCGAACGGCTAAACCCACTGAGATCCTCGTGTATGTATGTATGCATGTTTGTCCGCCCACTCCTTAATCGGGGTTTTTAGGGTCTACAGGAACAAATAAATAAATGAATAAATGAGTGAATGAATAAACATAGTTTTTGAAAATCCCAACTGGCAGGAAACAGACCTGTTAGCTAAGTAAAAACGCAGCCAAGGAGTTAAATTCGGGGCAATTGGGAACAAGTCCAGTGCGTAGCAGGGTGGAAGGCTTGAATCCGGGACCACCAGATTACAAGACCGGCGCCGTAACCACTCGGTTGGGGCGCTGGGACCGAGGCATGTGTTGAATTATGGTATTTTATGAACATTGTATTCTACTGACCTTAGTGATGAAACATTACATACCCTGTAATGGCGCTTGTGATTGACAGTTGCCAGTCGTTAACATCAAATTTTCAAAGTCCAGCCACAAACCAATCATTCTAACGAATATTCGTATCTATAATGAAATGTGAACGGTAGAGGCGTATCGTTTAATTATTTTCTTTTCATGCTAACTGTGAATAAATTAACGCAGGTAATTTATGATGTTAAAAATGTTTTGGAAACACCCTCGAAGCTCTCTTTATGAACAATCTTGGAGGGGGCCGATTGAAAAAAACTGGCTTTAGCACTCGAAATCGAGGCTTTTCAGCAGGCGTTTTTTTTTCTTTTCCGTTCTTTATCGCTCTTTCAGCTTTCTTTCGTCCCATGCCCTCGCGCGGATCATGCTTCTCTCCTCCAATTAGCTTCAGTAGTAGACATGTTTCCCATTTTACCAGTATTCTTGCTTTCTAGGAGCTTCATATAAAATCAACTGGAATCTTCTTATTCTGAAGCATTGTAGAAAATCAAACAGCAAAGTTTATATGTACCTGATAAGGACCGCTTGTAAAACTTCCAAGTCTTACTTGGAAGTAAATCCATTCATGACCCACAACATACCCCACGAAAATAAGCCTTTCATTGTCGGTGGAATCTTTGACAAACACGTGCAGGTGTGAAAGGTGCGATTGGCACCGAAGATGAAGGCACCCGTACATATCACTGATATAAGCACTTCTATAGTGCTTATATGTTCCCATCCTCATGGACGTTCTTCCTCTGAATGAAGACAATGTTTCTGCAAACAGAGAAAAAACGAATAAATTATGTAAAAAATGCGCACAATCAATCCTGTACAGTTCAAGAAAGATCGTGATCAATCAAAAGAGATGAGCTTACAAATAAATTTGAAAGAGACAACGGCAAGGCCAGAGCATCCAAAGAGTTTGGTTTCAACAAGAAAGAGCGAAGCCAATCCCGGTCTTCATCAGCAACGACCAGCATGTACTTGAAACATCTGCATAGACGCCCACCCCCTCGGTCATAATTTCAAACAATCGCCCCTTCGAATATGCAATTTCTCAAATAGTAGGGATGCAAGGAAAAACTGTTTCTATCACCACTTTTTTCATAACTTTTTTGTTCAGCTACAGAATCGGTGCAGGTGAATAATAAGCGCCCCACCCCCTCCTCCCCCTCGATTAAGCTCCTTCTAATAAGTGCCCCTCCTTTCAGCTGAAATTTTAAATAAGCCTCAGGCGCTTATTCGAGGAAATACGGTAACTGTGAAGTTACCGTATTAGAAAGGTGCAGGTCATTTCAGAGGAAGGGAGGGGCAGGGGGGTTAGTACCTCCTACACCCCTCCCCAATATTCGCACCTGGAATTGATACCTTTACTGAATTACCTAAAGAATATAAGACGATGCGTCTCGTTCTTCAGCGTTAATTAGCATATTGCAGAGTACTGTATTCCTACACCTGTATTCACTCACGTTTCGAAACAATTTTGTCACTACACGCGCTGGGATAACTGTCAATTTGGCATCCTTTACTGCTGTGTCGAAGATCCACGATGTTAAGTTTCTCGTATTTACATTCATCAACACCAAATATTGCTCTAGACTCTGCGAAATTCAAGAAACAAGACAAAGAGAATAAAAACTTTCTGTCTTTCTTTTAGATTTTCATTTTTTTTGTCACTACAAGGTCGTATCACAGATGGATGAAGAGCGAAATAAGACATCGTATTGTATTTTCAGCCACCTTCTCTGCTTCTTGCAGGCTAAACTAAATAGAATGTACCCAGAGAGGTTTGAAAGAGGTTTGTGTTTTGACTCGCCCTTAGGGCTCGTCAAAATACGGCTCAACTCGTTAAAATACTCAGCGATACTTCACAACAAAACGTCTAATGAGACATGTTTATTACCATTCTCTGTGTTCTCGTGAACACTGTAAAATAGAAGTGCGTCATCATCAAATCTCTCAATCGTAAGCTTCCTTATGGCAAAGGACTTTAAGAATCGAGTCTTCGCTAAGCTGTGCGACCGTCCTATTTTCACACTTCTCCATGAGATATCCCCAGGCTCTCTCTCAATTGACATCTCCGCGACGATAACTCCGTTTTCGCTGTATGTCAGCACACCTCTCGTTTGATTGATTGAAAATGCTAACCGGGTCCATTGATTGAACGATGATGTTCTGTTGAGGCGTAGGTAACGTGTCTTGTTGCTTTTCCATTTCAGTCTTATGGAATATTCACTTTGGTCGTAAACCAATGAAACACTGGCAAGGGAACTTGATTCACCAATATTAAGCTCCAGTAGTGTCAGTGAGTTCTCTGTAGAGCGATATACGGTTTGATTGGTAAATTGAGTATAGTTCCGCAACAGATCTTTCGATGAAGTATCAGAACAAAAGATATAGCGAACTATCCCCTAAATTTCACATTTCAAGAGAGCAATTACACATGAATAAAGACAAGATGGACTTTTACAAATTCTCGCCTTCGACTTGTGATTCACAACTGCTGTTCGTTTCCACTGAAAAACCCTCTTAGGGAGTATGGCCTGTTCACCGTGAGAAATGACGGGCCATCCCATTACCTTCACCTAACCTAAGAGTGATTACCCCCGTATTTCTCCTTAAGGTATTACCGCTGAATCAAACATTATGGTCATGAGAACATAGGGAATCGTCAACAAGAAAAAAGATTGATCGTGAAACAAAATCTCCTTGCCAGTGCCATAGTAAATGTATAGAGAACAGTATGGAGAATATTCGTGCCGACGGTAGGAATTGAAAGGATGAAAGGCTTCACCATTTGAGGGCAATCTGAGATTAGAAGTGAGTTAATGAATTTGTTTTCCAGTGATCCATTCCTTCACTTGCCAGGCCGTTCTTAAAAACACCATTCTATCACTCTCCATTCAGGCAGGGTATTAACCTTATAACCCCTAACAGTGACTGGCATATAATTTCTCTTTACCATATCATCCCTGAATCAAACATTAAAGTGAGGAGAATAAAGGAACTGATCACCGACCAAAGAAGCTCTGGATTGTTAGACAAATTCTCTATGTCAGCATCTTAGGAAATGTTTAGAGAACAGTATGGAGAATATGCATACTGATGTTAGGGTGTAAAGGGTAAAAACTCGATCTAATCGGTCTGACAGTCTGTTAGCCATTGGATATGATACAGGTCAATCGATGGTGCCTGTTATCACTGGCTAAAAGCATTACAAACCCGTTTAAACCTTTTTCGTCTCTTCGCTTTTTTGAACATTCCTGTAGAGAAATTACATCTGTTTTTGTGTAGTTCACCTTTTTCACATATGAAGAATTCTTCGGAACTGCAGTTTATAGCCATCCAACGTGTCTCATTACCACCCAGCTGGAAACAGTCATGTAGACTCGAAAGGCCTTTCCCTGAGTCGAAGAAGAAATATTCTGTTGCTTCCTCTCCGTCGCTCCAATAAAACTTGCTTCCTTGCCTAAACAGGCCTAAAACAAAAGAAAATAACGAACAACATCACTCCTGGTTTGTCTACAGTGAAAGATTTTGCACAAATATCGCAATTTGATCTTTTACAATCTGTTTCAATTTTGTCCATTCTTAGCCATCCTTGAGTCTTCTTGTTTTATAATTCCTCCTGGCATATTTTTCTGTTTTACCAAATATTTAACCTTGACCTCTTCAAACAACAGCCATGTGAGCTTACCTTTGTGATATTCTGGCAACTATAACTGACGACAGATCCCTCCGCTTGACCTGAAAAGCCCCGGACTCTAGTGATATCACTGGGGTTTGATAATCATTTTAAACTCTACTTACACATAAGTGCACTGTGCCTTACCTATCCATGGATTTGAAGAAAATCCCGCCACAACATCCTGTTCGTATTGGCTGGTAATCTTAACGGGTGTGGTTCCCATCGGACAGCTTCTGACGAAGTCGTGCCATTTCTTGGATACTTGAGACAATGCATAACATGATTCTTCGCTGCACATAACATCTGATATGTAGAGGCGAGTCATAGGAAGTGTTTGATAAGTATTTAAATCTTTTAAAAGGGAGAAAGTTTAACCTTAATGGGTTAACCTGTCTCCTGTGAAGTTGCTAATATTAATATTTTATCATGAAAATCTTCAAAGACAGAACAGTGACACTCTTAGCTGTGCCTCGTGTGCCACGTTTTTGTTACTACTGTGATCTATTACTGAAAAATTTTTTCTTTTATCTTTGCCACTTTTTTTGTTACCACTGTGATCTATTACTGAACAGTCTCACGGTAACACGCAATTTATTTGTTAATTTGTTTTAAAAAAAAATTACATACCTTGCTTAGGTTTGATTTTCATGGTCACAGATTTTATAGTATTACTTTGCGACCATTCATACCACAATATACGCGCCGGATAGACGCCATTCAAATCCACGGAGGTTTTTTCAAGTGTATCGCATTTTTGATACCACCAGGCTGAGGTTAAAACGTTCGCGCAACTTTGCTGTAGTTTGGGATCTAAACCGGTGTAAATTGTAGAAAAGACTGCCCCGTTTAAGGACTGCAGAGCATCGCCGGCTGTACCTAAGTAATTATCAACTTTAAGCCGATACTTTTCCGCCGATGAACCGATCTGGAATAAGTTGTACAAGGCATATGCTTTTTTCCCCGAGAAGCTCTCCATCTCCACATGAAGGATTGAAGGAGTTTTGGTAAGAAGATGAAGGTGTTCGTTCCCGAGCCAAAATTCTCCAGAGAGATTACCAAACCCGTCTTTGTATGCTACCCAATCACGATTGAAATTTATAGATCCGTCCATTCGCCTCTGAATAACTACCCACTCTCCATCACAGTATACGTCAAAGGCGTCCTTCCCAACAGGATTTATTTTGAAAATTCCTAAAATATGAGATCCTTTCCACTTTTGCACTTCCAGACAGTTCTTTGGAAATTTCACTTTAGAAAAAAGAAATAGAAGAAACACGTCTACATTCATTATCTAGTACAAGGTCTTCAGAGAATATTTTAACTGAATATCATACGACGACGTATTATTAACCAGTGAGAACTCAAACTGCTTTAAGCGCGGGAAAACGCAAGTGACCATGTTGGAATTGGTTTTAGTTTCGCATCTGATCGGTTGAGAGAGTAACGTGAGTTTTCTGGGCCAATCACAGAGCGAAATATAGCAAATCAATGCAATCAAGGATCACCTTTGATACTCAGTTGAAGACTGCTCTAACTAAGACAGGTTTTGGAACGATAGGCATGTTTTGTTCGTTCCATTTGTTTTAAAAGCAAAAAGAAGCCGAGAGTAATAAAAGCAGAAACTTTGAAAATTGCCCTAACAAGAATATCAGGCGAATACACTGCAACCACAGGGTAATTTTTTTTATGGCCATGAATAAACCACCTTTCATCCTCTACGGTTAAGAACTTGAAAATTATTTTGCCGTCGTTTCTTGCTCGATGAACGATAAAATATCCACGAGTAGCGGGGTCGCGAGAAAAGTAGTTTGCAGAACAGACGTATTTTGGCGAGCGAGTGTTAAGTATTCCTTTAGTGAAATTAGAGCTGCCAACTTTGATTTTACGGCAGCGGACTGCTGAGGAGAGGAAGAAATTGGTACCAAGGTAGTGAACGATGATCAGAAGTAAGATGACGGGAGGGGTGGGGCCTTGCCCCTCTCCCCTCCATCGTCCACTCTGACTCTAAACCAAACATGGCTGGTCGCACAAAAGATCGCGAGCTTGTAGCGTTTGCTAGCTCTAATAAAACGCCCGCACTGCAGGCTACGTGAAAAACGCAAAGCGAACTGTGAAGCCTGTTAAGATGTTTATCGACATAAATAAAGTTATAAGTGGCCTCTCAATGAGCCCGACTGTACGTATGAATGATGGACAAAAAAAAAAAGAGAAGAAAGGAGGACTTACATTAGAGCAAAAAGGGTATATAAATACACAAATTAACTTCTAAAGTAAGTGTTATACCTTGTTGTTTCACTTCAACAGTGCCTACATTAACCACGTCTTTTATCTTAGATACGTTACATCTTGTATTACTCCTCTCGTTTTCTCCCATCTGAGATATAAAAAAAGAATTGAAAATGGAATGAGAATGATAAAAAACCCAGACAAGACAAAAAATAACCCCTCGATCTTTTTGTAATTATTTGAACTCCGTCAATAGTGACGCCTACAAATGATCAATTTCTGTTTGAGTCTTTCTTTATCTCCTGTTGGATTTGCAGCATCCTTTAGATTTTTACTTCCCCACATAGAATAAAGAAACTCGGACACAGACGTCGAGGAAATTTTTAGACCATGTCATTTAGTATTCAGTATTCCCTCCCTGCGACTAAGCCATGACCTACAACTGATGTGAGCAATTAGTCTCGTACCCAGACCTTCCACGGCCAAGTGGTTGAAACATTTCAGTGACACGGTAGGATCTGGGTACGAGATTAATAAGCAATAAGGGCATCAGCCAAGAGCAAGTTTAATTTTTAAAACATAAATTTGTTTCTTTCATCAATTTATCAAAACATTGGCAAATTTAACATTTATTAACTAGGAAAAAATATAGCTCACCATAATCGTATAAGTTCCTGGAGCCTCCGGAGCCAAGAAACGAGTTTCAAATTGAGTGACGTTTTCGCAATTGGGCATCACAATAGAATCCAAGCATTTACATTCTCCAAATAGCATCACAATAGGCTGGCGCGATAAAGCGACTTTCTTGATCCTTTCCCAGCAGTATTGGTAATACCCTGGAATTAAAAGATAACAAGGAATGAGTTTGACAGACATCAAAGCATCAAGAAAGAAGCATTGTAGTCTGACATTCAGAGGCCCAAGGATAAAAAGCTGGACGCTGATTGTGCCTTTGTATCAACGCTATAGTGTTGGCCTAAAAAATCACCTTCCCTTACTTAGAAGATTTATCATCATAATCGGGGCGCGCCAGTAGCGTAGGGTCATCAGCATGCGTATTGCTCTGCGCTTCCCGTTTCACGCCTTTAGCTAATGATTTCTGGCAATTATGGTAACTTCTGTCCCGTTAAAATGAAGCGAGCTCTAGTTTCTGCGGGTAAAGTAGAAGACTGAAAAAGACTGAAAGCTGGGAGAGGTGTTCTTGTCCAGCCAGAAGAAGCAGCTTATGATATTCAGTTGGCAATAGATATCTCTGCTTGCCGTTTCTTCAAGCTTCAAACTAACGTAACAGATCCCACCCTCTGCTCACCTGTTATGGTGATTTCTGTCCCGTTAAAAGCAGTGAGCTCTGTTGGTCCAATTAACCCGAATATAGGTTTCTTCTTGTTCGGATCCGTAGCCTCTGCGAAAAAAAATTTCCATTTTTTTTTTTAATCAAGTTGTTGGAAATAGCTGCCTCATCAATGGCTGCGATTTTGCATGGCAAACTATGTAGGAATTCTTACCTCTGAGACAGCCATACACATCCATTTTCAAACAACCTTTCTTATCACTTTGCTTACTGTGAGCGCTCAACATTCTTATACGCAAGAAACGGGTTTCGATTGGATACAGAAGTCGACGGCGCACAATGGAATTAGCATCACTGTTTCCTAAAAATACCTGTAGAGAGAAGGAAATAAGAGAGTCAAAAGTGGACGCTTAAACAAATTTACCCCCAGATGTGATTGATATGTAATTTCTCCTAACAATGTCAGGATATAATCTAATAAACAGGTGAAAAGAATACACAAAGTTATCAGTTTTAGGGTTTGATCGTGACGAACCAAACTCTGTCTTTTCGCTTGGCTGGTATTATCCTGGAGGAAAGTAATTCCATTTTCTTAATTTTTTTCCGTGGTAACGTATTTTCGCGAATCAAGGAGAATCCACTAAATTTACAGAAGCTAAAACCTATAAAACAGGTTCTTGTGCGATTGAGCTTACACATCCCCTTTTAAGCAGAGCTAACTTCTGTCTCGAGGGAAAATTCCATTCAGTGAACCTAATAAAATGAAAAGTATATCAGATCAATATCAGTATCTGGGCAACTGCCCACCTACCCCTTCCCTAACCCAACAATAGTCTATTGATAACAAGTAAGGGTTAATGTTGGGTTAGGGGAGGGGTAGGTTAGCAGTTGCCCAGATACTGATATTGATCCAGTATATCTCTCTCACTCTCCGACTCCCATCAGCCTCTTTATATTCATTCCATTGCCGACCGTCTCCGCTGTACTCCAAGTAATATGACGTCACCCAGCTATATTTCTTTAAACTTCCTTGTGTGGCTATGTACGTCACAGTATGGATCAGAATCAGATCAACTTGGAGATACGCCATGAAATATTCTGAAGCACAATATGGTTTTTTGTCTGGGCCAAGCCTTCCTCTGTACGTAGTTACGAGCCCCAGTGATGAATAAGTTACCATCTTGCTCAGAGACTTGGAACAAACTAAAGTTGAAGGACACTAAGCTATTAGTCTCTATTCTGGGTTGGGGGAGGGGGGGGGATTCAATTTCTATAGCACCCCAAAATACCCTGTTAGCGACGATTGATCCCTCTTCCTTTCATCCCTAAAAAAATGTGACCCCCCCTAAATTCTTTACACCCACTAAGAACGTGAAAAAGTGATGGGTTTGCCTGAACGAAAAAAAAAATCCAAATAATTCCCGCTTCATACTGAAAAACCTCTACCTTGTTTTAAGACAGACGAGGACGAGACGAGTTAATAAATACTGGAATAGATTTGGGAATTTTAATGGGGAAGCTCGTGATTACCCCCCACACCCCTCCCCCTTCACTCGCGGTTACACGCACAAAAAAAGTCAATAACAACAATCATAACCCGGCCGTTTGAGTAACAATATGCAATCCTGTCGTTGCCAGAATTTTGATGTCAGATCGGTAAGCTAGGGGGGGGGGTGCACCCCAGGACCCTCCCTCTGGATCTACCACTGATATATCACCTGTCTGGAAGTCCTTCCGTTAGCAATTAAGTAAGAAAGATTGTTCATCAGGGAGAGAAATCTACTCGTCTTCTGTGACTGAATG